GCTCACTTTTACATCCACACCTGTCTGTGACAGCAGCAGTAGATTTATAGAGGCATTGGTCAAAATCCCTTATTGCTTGCTTTGATAGATTAATCTCAGGGACTTGCCTGTTTTCGGAGCAGTGATTTCTCCTTGAACCCATAACAATGGGTAATTGCACTCTGGGAGTTCTCATTTTAAACACTTATCAAGGATCAAAATTAAACCCGTTGAAGAGCTAATAATCTCCCCTTGCGGCACCATCTGTGTTGATCAGTCATGTCTGTAGTTGAGGGGAAATTTGCAGGATAGTGCCGGATGGTGTTCCTTCCAGCACGGCGGGGAGCCCCCACAAAGTTTCTGGCAGCCCTGGGATCCCGGTTTGGTGAATTGAAAACTGAGTTACTGTAGTTGGCAAGGGATCAAAACTGAGTTTAAAGAGCAGAAGCATTATGGACTTGACATTTTACAACGAGCTGCCAGTGCCATGTTAAATGGGTGCCCAGCAGTGCCTAAACGCCTTCCAGACTGGCGCTAGATTGCAAAGAGGTTCCCCATTCATATTAATCAAGTGCACAGATTATTCTTGGAAGTGCTTTACAAAACAGGTAGTGCCTGGCAGGACTCGAAGGGAGGTGCAATTCTTGGTGTCATGGTGGCATTGTACAAGGAGCAAAGTGCTAGGAATGAGGTACCGCAGTGCCAAATGATACTGTGTTTTCTCCCACTGAAAGAGGATGGAGGGGGGAAGCCCTGCACCAGCATGGGTCTTCTGTGTCAATGTGTTATTTAAGAGACCCTGCTTTGGTCTGGAAATCATAGTGTGCAAGAGGTTTCAAATGTTCCCTCTCCAAATAGAGCATCTCATTTAAGCCTGGTGGGGTTTGCTGTGCAAACAAGCTCCTGAGCTATTTGCAGCATGGGTCTTAATCCACAGCTGTGGGGCTGCTGTTTGCCACGTGCTGCCAATGTCTGTCACCACCTTTCCCTGCGTGGTGTTGGAGAAAGGCACTGCATGTGAGGGAGACTGTTTTCCTCCTGTATAATTGTTGGAGATTGCAGTACACCAGAGATTGTGGAGGTGGATGGCTCATGTTGTAGACAAATTCTGCAAAAGCTTCTTAGAGGAGGCTCTGGCAAGGCATGAAAGTCATCTGGTTTGCCCCAGGGCTAGTCCTCCTTCGAGCAAAGAGTGCGAGTGCCGTCATGTGGATTAATGCAGAGCTGCCTTATGCCAAGTCTGCAGAGCTCTTGGTCTTTCCTTGGGCCGGTGCTGGCTCTCCTGCTCACTTACTCCCCTCCTCCATGTCAATTCCAGAAGCTGGAATAATTTAGAGAACCTGTTTTTGCAAAAGCCAGACATGAGCTGTAATGGGGTCAAAACTGGCATCAGGTTGGGCTGGACAAACGTATAGGTGCTGGACAAACAAGAGTGTAATCTTGTATTAAAGGAGGTAAAGTGTATGCTGCCTGCAGCAAAGACGAGCAGTCCTGGTGCAGCAGGTGTGGGGTGTGCATCCCCAAAACCTGACCCTGCTGTACGTATTATGGCTTGCAGTGCATGTGGAACCAGTTATGTTTTAAAAGTGACTTGTGTCTTCAATTCCAGCTGTAGATGAAGTGGATAATATGGAGGAAATTTGATTTAAACCAGGTGCAGATGGGTGGGGAAACTGCTATGAAGGAATGAAGGTCATACCTCCCCCTGCCAATGGCAGGATCCCACGCCCTCTCTACGTTATGTTCGTTGACTCCCAACTATATTGATGTCTCATGATATTTTTTTTAATCACAATATTTTAAGAGCCACCCTGTTCTGTCTATCCAGGCAGCTACTGCAGGTCCACAGCATCCTCCTACCTGGTAACTGTGACTGCCTGACATGCAGCTCTCCTAACACCCACCTCGCTCCAATTCAAACATATTTACTGAGGTAGTGTCCTTGGACCACTGCCTGGATCCCATCACCCTGGTTTTGAGTCCTTCCATTGCCTCCAGCACCTTGAAACACAAAGTTTTTATCCTCTCACAAGCCCTCACTCCTCTGCCTTGTCCTGCTTGGTCTTGCCTGAAAGACTTGCACGCAAATACTTTCCCTCCACTACTCTGGGTCCACTAGGACACTCTTCTTTTTCACAACTTCATTTTGAATAAACAGAAGCTAATTGTATAGATCATCTCAAGTCTGCTCTCCTGCCACCTGTAGGAAAAGAGTGAATTTGGGATTGGGAGGAATGTGCCTTCTGCTGAGATGTTTGCCTTTATTCCTGATCTTTCAGAGGAGTTCAGAGGGGTCACCATCGTGGAGCTGATTAAGAAGGAAGGAAGCACCCTTGGGTTAACCATTTCAGGTGGCACAGATAAAGATGGAAAGCCAAGAGTCTCCAACCTGAGGCCAGGAGGACTGGCAGCAAGGTGAGAAACAGAAATGGGGTGCAGAGAGCACAGCAAAACTGGAGAGGAACAATTGCATGTTCTCGCTGTGGAATGAATATTGTTATAATTAAAATTGTTGGTGACCGGCTCCCTTTTTTCAAGTGCCCCAGGAGGTAAAGTTGTTGCTTCAGTCAGTAGAACGTCTTCTATTTTGAGTTATTTCCCATGCTCTGTGCAATTATGCTCTGAAATTGTGTGTAGGGATATTTGGGATTCTGTGAAATGAGGCAGCCTTGTCAGGAGAGCTGCATGGTACAATACATCTTGATCAAGCTAAGTGGTTTAATATTGTATCTGTTCTGAATACTGAGAGTGTAAGTAACATTATTGGCTCAGGAAAGGAATGGGAGAAGAAAGGCTTCAAGAAGCAGGGAAAAGGAAGGAGTAATTGAACAGTTTTGCAGAAAACAGGCAAAAGGAAAGATGTTTTCTTTTTCCCTGCAGGATTTTCTTTTTCAGATAGCTCTTGGTATGCTTCTTTTTGACTGATTGCTTTACATGTATGGGAACTGAGCAACAAAAAGAGAGGTTGTGAACACGTAGACTGCGATTGTTGCTACATGTACAGATCTGAAAACTTGCCACTGGGAAAGACAGATGGCTTAGATTTTAGCACTTCCCTCTGATAGCAGGCACGTGCAGTTGGACAGCTAAGATCAGCCAAACGTTGGTGGCTTGTTCAGAAAGTCCTCCAGTTACAAAGGTTTGCCAGGCACCTCCAGGCTGAGTGTGGCAGAGACTTTGTGCTACCACTGTTTTGTTTGGTTTTTTTTTTTTTGCTTTATTTTCAGAAGCGACCAGCTGAACGTCGGGGATTACATCAAGTCGGTGAATGGCATTAACCTGACCAAGCTGCGGCATGACGAGATCATAAGTCTGCTGAAAAACGTGGGCGAAAGGGTAGTGCTGGAAGTAGAGTACGAGCTTCCTCCAGCCGGTGGGTGCCTCTCTGATAATGCTGCTCTCTTTTCTTGACTGCTTTTTGTCCTGGGGTACAGATGGGCTCGCTCGTGCATTAGCCGTCATGGCCAAGGCAGTATTCAGCAGCATTTTGACGTTCTGCCTTCGTCTGCTGGCAGTGCCATGGTGGATGCTGCAGAGCTGTGTGCAGTGGGAGCAGAGTGCTTTTTCCAGCACAGTGGGTGCCTGTTCATGCACACCGGCAGGAGATGGCTGATTAGCTCTGTCTTGCCTCGGAGTGACTCAGTAGCACAGGCCAATCTGCCTCCTGAGGCTGCTTCAGCTTGTTTTGCTTTTTCCCTTTTGGAGCATGACTACGGGAGGTTTTACTCAGTCTTAAGCATGGATTGCTGGATCCTCTTTTCTGAACTGTGGTAAGTGCTGTTATTCCTCCAGATGCCTTGAAATGTTATGTGTTTTCAGAAGGGAAGCTGAAGCAATCTGCTTTCCAGTTAAGGAGCTCTGGCAGAAGCTGGCAAGCCCAGCTGCCATTAACAGGGCTTGTGTCCTGACGTGGGAGACTATGTGCTCTTGCCCCCGTTTGTTTGTTCTGATTGAAACAAATTCCTTGATACAGTTTCTCATCACAGTCTTTCCATTGTGGAAATGACCTCCCTGGTTATTACTTATTCAGTTACCCAGATCAATCAGAGGATGATTGAGCAGAAGAAATAGAACAACTAAAAGTAAGATGACAGGAAAATCAAAACTAATGAAAACTAAACATTTTGCCCCAGATAGGAACCTATCTTACACTTCATAGCTTTGCTATAGCTGCTGCCTTTACGTGAAAAGCGTTGAATATATAAATGACCATATAAAGCCCTAAGACGAAAAAAATATCTGAATTAGCTGAATCTCTGTCCATCATCCCTCTCTGTTCTGCTGTAAACGTTCATTAGCTTTTGCATACAACCCCAGTAAAACAAACCAAAACCCTGTGGTTCAAGTTTTCCATGTTCTCATACTCACTAGCGATGACAAGCCTTAACCTTTCTCCTTAGCTTTGAGCCTGACTACTAGAAATCTGATAAGCTGCACTTACCAGTGCCAGTACCGTGTGGCTCAATCAATAGCAGCGATGCAAAACGTCCCCACCTCTGAATGAGCAGGAAGAGCATACTGCAGTAGTGACTTCTCTCCAATGAGATTATTGATGTTTATGACTAATCCAAACAAAGAGGCACTGCAAAATTCAGGGAATTGTCGATTATTGCCTTGCTCCTTTTCATTGTGGGCTTTTATCTGTGGTGAGGGTTCGTTATTGCTGTGTGC